CTGAAGTTGAAAAGAAACTAACAAGTATTTACTCTCGTGACCTTCCCGCAAATACTCTCCATTAGGCTTAACACGGTCGAGAAACTCTGAACACCCCCGTTAAGTTTGATGAAGAGTGGTAGAGAAAAGTCGCAAAAAATAAATCTGTCGTTCTGCTTATCTTGACTTTATGTTATTTAATACTATATTGGGTATACTCCAAACGTTATATTTATCGTTACAGTGTCACATTCTCATGTTTTATTTAAAACAAAAACAAAAAAAACATCTATCCATATTGGGAGTGCATCTTTAATAAAAAAAACAAAAAGAAAACGGTTATATAGCAACGGTGTTAATATTATTTTGGAGGCAATATTTGATAAATCTTTAATCTACAAACTCAGTACGTTATACCACACGATAGGCTCTTTGATTATTTATCTGCTAACGTTAAGTGACGAAATCCTGATGTCCCTCCAAATAAATTGAGCGTCGTGGTTAATAAGGATAGTTGATGAATAACGGTATGACGGCGACAATAACAAACATTTGTTACGACGGTAACAAACATTTAATTATTGAACGTTTCAAGATATACATATTCATTGACTCATCGTCAACAAGCTATATTCAACAAGATAAAATACTGGGTACACAATCTTCTGAGTTTCTAAAGTTCCAACATTTGGTAAAGAGGAATTAAAATACAGAGGGAATGGGATAATACAACAATGTTATGTTGTTTTGATGGACTTATACAAGTAACCCAAAACAAACTTAATTGTAGCGAAGTTGTGCTATTATCTAAAGTTGGGAGTTCATTTACAATAGATGGACTTTCTTTTTTTAATCAAAAGTTCAATATTTAATGATGATGATCTTTGAAATATTTAATCAAGATGAGCTGGAGGATTTGACAGATGTTTACCAGTTCTGCTTGATACTCTTATGTTTTGTACCAGTTCTGTTTCATACTTCCATGTTCTGGCAAATATAATTGTTGTTGTTGCCGTCGTACTATTACTCATAGTTTGTAATTAAGCACCACAAAGCTACGCGATGGGCTATTTGTACTGTACCCATCACGAGTACTGAAACCCAGTTTTTAGCGTTATAAGCCGACAGACTTACCGCTGAGCCACTGGGGGGGGGGGGATAAAGATGTATATTTAAGAATTATATGGCAATTTTGGACGGAGAAGGAACTAACCCACGTTGTATTTATTGAAAGAAAAACAAATACATGATTTTGAACAACACACCGACGAAAACGAACCTAACGAATTAAGTATTGACACCGAAAATATATAAACATTTTCCATAGTTCACAACCTACACACACATGTTTATAATATGTTCTCAGCTCATTCAATACAACGAAAATGAATAACTTGTATTATCACAGTTACTTATAAATACAAGTATTATTACGTACTTTTTTTCAACTTTATATAAAAAAACGTGTACAAAAATAGACGTGAAGAGAAGAAACGTTACAATTAAATAAAAAATTACAGTTTCTTAAGTTAAAGTTAATTTAGATAAAAACCACAATAGTAAGTAATCAAAAAAACGTTTCCATTAATATCATTTTGATTTTGTTTTACATTTTGTACGAAAATAATAGAAATAACAGTATATTAAAATATATCAGCTACAAGGGCACACACACCTATATATATATATATATATATATAACAATGAGGCTTAATTTGAGAAAAAATTGACTGATTGATGGGGAAATTGATTTTTCAAAAACTTAAATTTAATCTTTTTTTGTTGTCTTAATGTCATGTCGTTGTTGAAGTTAAGCACAAAGCTACACAATGGACCATCTGTGCTCTGGCCACCACGGGTATCGAAACCCGGTTTTTAGAGTCGTATGTCTGCAGACATACCGCTGTGCTACTGGGAAGCATCATAATAAAATAAAAGTCAACGTGTGAGCTCTAATACGTTATAAAATGAACTGTAGAACTTTCCGTTCTGGATACAAGAAAATACTGTATGTAACTTCAACTGAATTCGTTGTTGCTTCAGGCAATAAATTACTTGTTTGGAATATTGCCCATTTTCCTATCTCATACAAAACTCGCACCTGTAATGTAATAAGAAACAAACGGCAAACATCCAAGACATTTTCATTTCATGTCTTCTTTTTATTATTATTATTTAAACTGCTTCTGAAGTGTGCATCGTTTCTGCTACAATTGACGTATTTCAATACGTGAAAGTTAAATTCAATTACTGTAAACGTTCTGTTCCATACCATTTCATGGTGCAGCATTTTAGTGAACGATTCGCCTTATTTCATAAAGTTACAACTGAGAAAAAATAACAAAGTTTGATAAGTTCGTTAGTAATATCAACTATGCAAACGTACATGAACTAAGCAATACGTACTTAATAATAACTACGACGGCCTTGTTAATACTATGAGCATGCTTACGGTGACAACGCAGAGCAAGTGTATTAGGTAATTATTTCTTACACGTTTTCCTCCATAAGGTTTTGAAGTAACGTTTGTTACTCCTTTTGGGGATAATTTTGCAGAAGCTTCACCAAAGGCACAGAGTTACTAATACATTAGAATTTTAAGAATCCTATGTGATTGTCTCCGCTAATGACAAAAATGTAAACTATGTGATTACTAATCATGACAAAAGTCACATGACCAGATTTAGTATAAGATGTGTCGAATAAGTATTGTTAAATATTGACGTTCCATACAGACGTATGGAATAAGTATTGTTAAATATTGACGTTCCATACAGACGTATGGAATAAGTATTGTTAAATATTGACTTTCCATACAGACGTATGGGATAAGTATTGTTAAATATTGACGTTCCATACAGACGTATGGAATAAGTATTGTTAAATATTGGCGTTCCATACAGAGATATGTTTGTTTGTTTATTTGGAATTAAGCACAAAGCTACACAATGGGCTATTTGTGCTCTGCCCACCACGGGTATCGAAACCCGGTTTCTAGCGTTGTAAGCCCGCAGACATACCGCTGTGCCACTGGGGGGCACAGAGATATGGAATAAGTATTGTTAAACATATACGTTCCGTACAGAGATATGGAATAAGTATTGTTAAAC